GGGGGGGGGGGGGAACATGTGGCCTGCTGCCATATATGCCCACGAAATCATTTGGTCTGGCCTTGCCAAGGCAATTGCAGGCGGGACTCAAAATTCAATAAATTCAATGAGATGTTTGAGCAAATATAGCAGGCTAGTTTTTAAGCTGATAATTTTGTATGGCTCGCAAATGATGTTAATAAATATCCAAATGGCCCTTGGCAGAAAAAAGGTTCCCCACCCATGCCTTACATGAACACATTCCCTCCTGAGGCCTTTCAGAGCTCTATGTAAGTAAATGAGGTTATGGAAAGAGTCTCTCATGCAAGATAATTTGGAAGCTCCTGAAAGGGGTTGTGGTTAGTGACCCAGAAATTCCTGTGCGAGAGTAAGAGTTACTGCAGCGAGCTTGCCGGACAAACCCAGAGACGCCGTGTGCACAGATCCAATAGTGAGGGTGCAGAAACAAACCCTGGAGTGAGAAAAATTCACTGTGCTTCAGGAAACGTGAATTGGCCCACGGCCACTAGCCCAGTTCAGAGAGCACAGCCTCCCCTTGCTCTGTCTGACATCGAGCACAAGAGCAAGACCGCGGCCCCGCCAGGCCCGGCTCGAGCCTGCTGTGCCGTGTGGCTTTGGGGCAGGATTTGCTGCCTGATTCAAAGTCCTGGCTCTGCGATGCACACCAGATGCCTGCCTCCCCGCGGCTGCTCTCAATGCAGGTAAAACTCTGTACAAAGCAGGCCCCTCCCGCTCGGTGGGGGGTGAGGTGGGGAGGGAAATTGATTTTACCCTGCTTCTGAGCATCTTCTACTCTTATTATAAACTGTAGAGTATTTTCCAAGGAAAACTCCATTGATATTTTAACTTGGCCTCAAAATCCTGCATCGTGTTACATAACAACTAAATAATCATCAACATAAAGTAGAGCGGGTTTCCTGTTTTCTACCATGAGATGCCATGAAAACACCTATTTTCCAGCTTGGATTGAGTGCACAAAACAATTCTTGAGGATTCCTCCTTCTAAAGGGACGGGCTTGGAGCCTGCCCTTCAGGTCCCATACTCAAAGGACCAGAACGTTAAATATTCAGGATTTTGTGAGCTGGTTGAAATTGGACACAGTGGAAATATTTACACCACAGAAATCAGCAAACGGTACTGCCCCACCCCCAGAGCCGGTCGTGAATGATACATCGATGTGTCGGCGCACCTGTTTCCCTCCCCGTGACTCTGCTGGACCCAGACACCTGGGATTATCCTTTGCCTTATCAGTGGTGCCCAGCCCTCAGATGTGCAGGAGCCGGGTTGCAGGGTGAAGGTCTCTTTGTGATGATGGAAATGTTCTGTAGCCAGTGGCCTCTGAGCCCCTAAAATGTGGCCCGTGCAATAGACAAGGTGAATTTTTCATTGGAATTAACTTGAGTTTGAATTCCAACAGCCACATGTGGCTCATGGCCACTGTTCTGGACAGAGCAGCTCAGGGCTTTCAGGGACGTCCGTGGATGGTAGCCAGGGGGTGGACGTGTGGGAGGTGCATTCCTCACACTGGACTCAGCCATAGCGGTTCTCTGGGGGACCCTGGGCCTGGGGTCTGCCTCCCTGACAGTGCATTTCCCAGCTCGCTTCTGTGCTGGCTGTGGGCCCACAGGGTGAGGGTGCTGGTCACTGGGTGACAATGTACCATCTTGGACACCTCATCCAGAACATGGGCTGGGGGAGTCCAGACAGTTCCGCCATGGAATGGAAAAGAGAAGGTGTGGCCAACGTGGACAAAGGCTGGTAAGCCTCGGGCACCGTTTTGGAAGCACGAACCTGGGCATTTCTGGCTCTTTGTATGTGTAGCACACTCCCCGGCCTGCCTAGCTAAGGGGCTCAACACCAACATCCTAGCTTTTGGTCATTTGTTTTCACATTTGCTGCTGCATAATTTCAAGTTCAAAATGTGGAAACAAAGTTCAGCATCCATTACCAAGGCTAGACCGTCTGGCTGTGAACTTGGTGCGATTCCCTCTACAGCCCACCTGGACATTAGGGCAGCGCATTGGCAGGGGGCATCTCTCTCCCGATCGCATTCAGACAGGGCTTGTCTAAGGACGGGCGCTGCTTCTATGGTCTCCAGGGAAGGAAAGAGAAACATGCCGTCTATTGCATAAAACAGTACAGCCCTGAATATCAGCGCTACTCCGATTATTTAATGTGAGTCAGCATTTACTTTTCAAAATGCCATCTGAATTTTTTCTTTCCTATAACATGACTCCTAAGAGGCACGCAGCTTCTGTGTAGATTAGCTGTTTGGGACCAACGCGGCTATTATACCTCATCAATATAAACCTTTAGTCCTGGGGCATAAATGTAAAAGACCATCAATTCACTCAGAGAGTAAATACGGTTTGAGTTCCAGGCAGGCTGATGATGCTAACCAACAGGTAACCCTGAAGGAGCTCATGCAATGACGTCTAGCGTCAGAAAACCCTCTGTGACCCTCGGGGCTTGCTCTGTGCTCAGAGGATAGCCTGGTCACAGAAAGAGGGGCTGTAGCCTCCTGATGGATGGGGGGGGGGCTAGCGGTGGGCCCTGGGGTGATGACTCTGCAGCACATCATAAAGAAGGTGTGAGCGTACATACCCTTCCCGGTGGGCCTCCCCTTTCTCCAGCTCCTGGATGACCCCCAGGAGCACTTTGATGGTTTCCTGGCTTGAACTGATCAGGTTCTCCATCACCTGGAGCTGTGCTTTGAGGTCCACCACTTCCGTACGAGGCACGATTTGTTGGCATGCTTCACCCGCAGCAGCCCCCGTCGGAGAAGGCTGGTGCTCCTGCCCCGCGGGGGCCGGAGTCTGCAGGGGCTGGTCGCTACATTCGGGGGACAGGCACTGCGTCGGGGGCGCCTGGAGCCCATTGAGCTGGGTGGCCCTGCTCCGCTCCTCGTCGGCTGCGGGGCAGAGGGACCACTGGCTCGCGGCGGCAGAGTTCGACAAGGCGGGCTCCGGGGCCTGTGCACCTGGGGCAGGTGCATAGACAGTGGCCACCTCTGTCTTAAACACCCTGCCGGAGGCCGAGGGAGCAGGTTCCTCGGTGTCCAGTGTGGCCCTGTCCTGCTTTGCTGTCCCGAGCAGCTGGTGGTGGGGCTCTCGGGAGGGAGTCCGGGTCGAGTTTGGGAGAGGTCTTTCTGGGCAGCTGCGCACGTCGGGGTTTCTGCACAGCTCTGCGCAGTTGACCCCGGCCGGCTGGTCCAGCGCGTTCATGTGTTCGTGGGGGTGGAAAACCAAGGCCGCCGTCGTCTGCACCCGGCCCGCAGCCCACGGCCGGGCCTCCTCCCCAGGCCCTTCCTGACCTTTCTCCTTTGCATCGATTTCAAACCCGTTGTTCTGACTTTTAAAGGCATCCGCAGCCGGGATGCTCTTGAGGTTCCCCTTTTTGCGGTCCAGTGGGAACGTCTGGTAACACTTCTTCAGGTCTGGGGAGGTCTGCACGCCGGTGCTCTTGGTGACGTTGGGGATGGACCTCCGCGCCGGCACCGTCATGTACTTGCGGTAGGCGGCCCGGTAGGATGCGGGCCTGGCCTCGCGCCTCTCGGCCACCTGCCCCGTGGTGAGCTGTGAGTCCCGCTGCTCGTTCTGCGCCTCGCAGATATCCTTAAACCGCACCTGCAGGGCTTTATTCCGTTTCTTGATCTGCCGGTTGGCATCCAGGGCATATTTCATCTCCAGGGCCAGGCAGGCGGCAGGTTCCACTTCGCTCTCTGACGTTGTGAGTACGCATTTGCCAGCGTCCTTACTGACCATGGTTCCTGCATTCAGAAACATCAACAGAGGCATCAGCGGGACAGAAGGGCACACGCAAAACGGGCAGCACCCGCCTGAGCCCCCAGGACAGCTGCCTGCGTCCTGATCATGACTTTTCTTGTTTCAGTCCTCCCTCAGTGATACTTTTTCCATTGCTTTTCAGAGAGAGTGGGAGGGAGAGAGAGAGAGAAACATTGACGTGAGAAAGAAACATAGATTGGTTGCCTCCTGCACGCACCCCAACTGGCGCTGGGGATCGAGCCTGCAACCGAGGTACATGACCTTGACTGGAAATCGAACCCAAGACCCTTCAGTCCACAGGCTGATGCTCTAACCACTAAACAAAACTGGCTAGGGTTTAGTCTTACTTTTTAAAAAAAAATGTTTTTATTGATTTCAGAGAGAGGAAGGGCGAGGGAGAGGGAGAGAGAGAAACATCAATGATGAGAGAGTCATGGATCGGCTGCCTCCTGCACGCCCCCCACTGGGGATCGAGCCCGAAACCCGGGCGTGTGCCCCGACCGGGAATTGAACCAGTGCCCTTCTAGTTCTATAGGTCGATGCTCAACCATGGAGCCAGGCCGGCCTGGCTTCCTGATTATTTTTAGGCAGGTGAGGTCGCCCCCCTACGTTAAGGAAACTCAGGCAGGCCGAGCACCGCCGGCAGGCACAGCTCGCGATGCCGCTGACATGAAAGCCGCCTCCTTTCCCATGTGGGAGGCACTGGCTTTTCTTTTGATCGTAATGCATGTTTCCCCATTAGACAAACCTGTTTTACTATATTCATCAAGAAGCCCAACGATGCGCCTCTTCGGCTTTGCAAATTACCGCTGTACACGCACGTCTCCGCCTCACGGGCAGATGGTTCTCCAAATGCGGTTTATTTGGTTTGGGTTTTTACTATATTCTGAGGGTGACGTGATTAATCTATTATTGGAATGCAAGAGAACTGCTGTTTTCCCTTGAAGACTTTTATTGGAGAGTCTAGCTCCTGGCTGGATGAATGCGGAGAGCCCCAAGTTGGGGAACTGAAATAAATCTATGTCTGTCAGCCTTTCTGGGTGCCGGGGAGAGTGGGCCACTCCGCTTCGTGGGGGCACCGTAAAGGACAGGTCTTCGCGGTGCAGCTTGCATGCGGTGGGTTAACACCGGCCATGAAAATAACACGGGTTTCCCTGTGTCCACACAGTCAGTCAGTAACTCTTTACTTTGATTCCACTGAGAGTGGTATTTGGAAATACTTTTTTTTTTTTAAGAAATTATTCATTCTGGAATCAAGTTTTGTGCTTTGATCACAACCTCTGAAAGTGAAAACAATGGTGGTGGTTTCAGTATTTAAATCCTGAAAGAAAATAAAATCACGAGGCTTTATGTGTGTTCATCATGCAAATTCATCTTGGGCTGAATTATTAAATGCCACTAAAGAGACGCAGGTGGCCAAAGACTCCTCTCTCGGGGACGCCAGTGGGGTGAATGCCTTCGCTCTATTAGGCAGATTCGCAGCTGGTTATTGCACATGGAAGGGCTTTCTGGAGGGTTGAAGTCGAAGAGAGAAATAGAGTTAAGGATGTTGTTTGTGGAGTTACCATTCACTCCACCCCCACACGTTCTAGAAGAAGACAGAGAGGAGGAGCCTGGGGTGTGCAGGGCCCTGGTATCAGCCCGGTGGCCAGAGAGGCAGGTCACTGACCTGAGCCCACAAGAGTGGACAAGATTAGGCTCCGGCCATACTGCCCAGCCCAGCTGATGGCAGACCGTTTGGGCTGCCCTGGGGGTGGGCCCGAGAAGCCAGCACAGAGACGTCTCCGAGCACTTCTCGGGAAATGCCACGGGAATGGGATGCTGTGGCTGCCACTCCAGGTGTTGTGTGGAGCGCAGGTGCTCAGGTACATGGAGACTATACCTAATCCCTTCAACGCCACGTAGCCCATATCAAGGAGGGAACAGGTTCAGAGAGGTTATGTCACTGTTCAGTGTCACACAGCAAGTAAGACATGCAAAGCAAGAACAGGATCCTGGTCTACCTGACCCCCGAGTCCAGGTGTCCATCCAACAGAGACAGGACATGCCCCCACATCCTAGTTCCTTCTGAGATAGGACTACAGGCCGCCGGGCATGGTGGTCCAGCCGAGGGGAAGAGAAGGAGAGGCCGAGAGCCTGCATCCAGGACTGAGACGCAGAGTGGACCTCCCCGCAGTCTGGGGCTCTGTTACATTGGCCTCTGAGTGTCAGGCCAGCGTGGCACTGGCACGTGGCAGGCCGTCTCTGCTCCTGACTGGAAGGCGCTGAGGACATCCACGTGCTTCCTCAGCTGTGCCACGCACGCTGAGCTGCATCATGTTAGAGCACGTCACATAGTCTGCGCGGCATCCGGGCTAGACTGAACCCGGGTTTCCCAGCCAGGCACCCCCTGCATCTTAGGCAGGTAGTTCTTTGTTATGGGGGCTCTCCAGGGCGGTGCAGATCGTGTAGCAGCACTTCTCGGGAAATGCCACAGGAATGGGATGCTTCTATTCACTAGGTACAGGTAACCCGTTCCCCGTGTGACAGCTGGAAGTATCTCCAGACCCTGACACATGACCCTGGGGCATAGTCACCCCCAGCTGAGAACCTCTGCATTAAACCTTTCACCCTTGGGTGGCCAGAGTGTGACCTGAGAGGTAGGGCTGGGGAGAAAGCTACGTGAACGGTGGGTCTGAACAGCCCCTGCGCTGCGCCGAGCCCCCAGCAGCACGTCCGCACCCACGGAGCATCTGCGTGTCTGTAGACAAAGCAGTGAATCCGAGCCGGCCACATCGGGGTAGTTCACGGGAGACAGGACATGACCTCTTTGGTCCTCGATGCATCACTAGGGGCTGAGAATATTGAGACCTTTGTCATTTGAAATGATTAGAACTGAGCAGTTTCTTAGAGGAGGGAAAGAAAAGGCACAGAGCAGTTGTGTGCCCACCTCCTGGCCCCGCCTGGGGGGCGCTGGGTCACCGGTAGCGGGTGGGACGGAGCATGCCCGCCAGGGACACACAATATGTATCTTTTAGGGACAGTTATCCCCACAGGTTAAAAAGATGCACACAAAGGGCCCAGTGTGGGGACGGCGGGGGTCTAACAAGAAAATTAAATCGAAACCCTCTCTCTGATCTGCTGCCCATTGCCTGACTGCCTTTGTGGCCTGGGCCCGCCAGAAGGCAGGTGCCACGCCATCCTCCTGCAGACGACAGTCATGCGAGGGGAAATTGGAAAGGGAGAGCGTTTTTACAAAAAGCAATTTACTAGTAATTTTTCAGCCCTTTCCCTGCCACTACTGAAAAATGTGTGTCTGAATAAGTTTGTCCCGCCAAGCTATTCATCACCGCGGTTTGCCAGGGACTGCACCGAAGTAATTTTCTTACGTCCGTCGGGCTGGCGTGAAAGATACTGAGTCTTGGGCCCAACCATCAAACTAATAAAACAAATCAGAGAAATTAACTGACAGTGGCAAAATCATAATAATAATTATTATTATTCCTAAGCTTGTCTCTGTTTTACAGGGAGTTGCTAATTATATAAAAATAATTCCCTTGTAAGTAAAGACGATGGTAATAAATAGAGATGTTCATCCGTTCGGCGCGTGGTTGCTGAGTCTTCTTTTAAGTAACAGGATTGAGTCGTCCTTTCTGCCCGGGCGGGGAGGACGCCCGGGAGGGTTCGTGGTTGACTTATTTGGGCTGCAGATGAGGTTGAGTTCTTTTGTGGCCGGATGACATTTTTCTAAAGCTTCAGAATAGAATTTCCCTGGACATTGCGAATTCCTTTCATATTAAGGCAGACGCGTCTTACCCATTAAGAAAGCGATTTCGTCATGAAAGAAGATGGGGCTTCCTGTAGGCGACAGTCCATGAGACACGTGGCCCCTTCCGGCACACGCGTCCGTGCATTGCTCCTTCGAGCATTCACTCGGCCACTGGATGCGCACCCGCTCCCGGCGATGTCATCGCTCAGTCCACACGCTCCGTGTCCTGGCCACACGCCAGCCTTCTCCGGCACCCTCCTGGGCCCTCGTGATCGCCTCGTAGGGGAGGTCCTGTCTTTCCCAGCCTCTGATGGAGAGGCTGAGACACAAGACTTTTCACTTGCATCCTATATTCCCTTAAATCCCATGCTTAAAGCCACTGTCCCTGTCCTGGGAAACTGAAGTGACCAGTGAGAAACTCCAAAAAGCATCATAGAGCTGGCACATCCCCTGGCCCTGTGCCACACAGGTTATACAGAGACCCTCCAGGTGGGTCCCAGGAGTTCCCCTGGCCCCGGGCACAGGCTCAGGGAAGGCTGCTGTGAGGTTTGGACTGAGCATGGACCCAACATGGCATTTCCAACCAGGGCTTGCCGTGGCTGGGTCCCCGAGGAGGGTGGACTCTGGCTCTCGAAGTGAATCTCTCAGCTCTAAATCAGCAGGAGTGCGTGAAGCTTATTTTTCGTAAGAAAACTGCGTGTTTTAGAATTCACTGGACTGTGCTGTTTTCAGGTAAAAATGGCTCATCGTGGCTGTGCCAGTCTGGCTCCGGGAGCGTGGATGGCGGGGAGCTGTTTGGAATATAAATGTCATAATTTCCCTCAAGTTAAATTTCATCATCAGATGTGAGTTGTCAGTATATGAGCCCCGTACTTTTAGATGAGTGGTGGAGAGTCGCCTCCGCTTGAAATTAATAGCTGAAATAATAAACGCGCTCGCTCCAGCCATAAGGGCGTGAAACAGGGAGAAACTGCCGGCCTAACACTCGGTAAACGGTGAGGAAACGAGGGTCCACATCCACTCAGTGCGGCCAGTGAAGTGCTCCTTGTAAACACTGTTTAGCATCAGAGAAACCCAGGGAAACAGTGCTAAGTGAAAGAGTGGTCCACCCCTCGTCTGGAAGACAGCAGACACGGTCCCGGGTGTGCTGAGACTGTGCTTTGGGTGAGCGATTGCCCTGCTCCCAGGAGGGGGCTCACAGTGGTGTTCACCTGTCTGCCAGTTACAGAAACAAGGGGCAGAGGCAGCCCCCAGCTCGGGC